GCACATTTTCAGTGAGACATTTCAAAAGCTGCTGGGTTAAACCGAACAATAAAAAGCACTAAATACAAATGTATTTCTATTCTTTTTTAAGAGCCTCAATAATATTTGTCTGAATGAGGTTTCTGCTGTGATGTCACATGTGCACAGAGTTATCCACCATACTGAACGTGATCAGAACCACCTGAAGTTTGCATTCATGAAGAGGGCGTTACACCAAAAACCTCTCCTTGCTTTGACTGCTAGCAGATTGCCACTGTTGTCCATAGTTTGGATGGAAGAAGCTGACTTCTGCAGGAACGTGCCAGCTGACCACTGAGGAGTAGTAAAACTTTAAAAGTGCAACGCAAACCAGAAACGGAGAATATTAGCCTTCAAAATAAAAGAAACGCCTCAGTGCAGCAGCTGAGAACAAATGGTGTTTGCAGACAAGTTGGTGTTTTCCATCAAACTGGAGTGACTGCAGCAACCCATTAACTAACCAAGGAATTGTAAGGCTTTAACCAACCAGTTGTATTTTTCCCTGGTGACAGGTGGTTACCAGAGCTCCAGTCCTGTGTGACTAAGGTCCTACTCACTTAACCCTATGACCTGTTCAAAATAGCAAAATAATTGTCATGTGACTTCAAATCCTTAGTATTATCCAAATAAACCATTTCAAACACCATTTAATTAACATCTTAGTTATGAAGATAAAAAAAGGTGGGTCTCTATGTTTTTTAATCAGGGTTTAATTTTTCTATCAAATTATGAAGCCAGAGATACAAAAACACTATATTCAGCTCATATTCATATTCAGTTACTTTTTTCCTCTTTAGTTCAGAGTAATTGTTTATGTGTCTGTTTGCTAGAAAGGACATGTTCTCTTCATAACACAAACATAAAACAGTGACTCACCGGCACACTCATCCACATACCAACATACATACTAGTAATAAATAAAAACACAATATAATTTAAAAGGAGTAATATTCTTCTGTTTTCATTTTATTGTGCCACGTCTAATCAGAAAGCCTCTAATCTCTCCTCCAGCCACAAAACACATGCAGCAACACGTTGTGTATGGGAAAAACAAAAAAGCAAAAGCAGTTATAAAGAACAGAAAAACATGTACAGATTAAACACAGAGGCACTGAATTAAGCTACTAAATGAAAATATGGCCCAAAGCCTTCTATGAAGAAAGGTTGTGGCAATAAAAGGTGAACATTTTATAAACACAAAGCAGTGACTTTGTTTTGGTGATTGATGTAAATCACCTTCTAACTGGCTTAAAAAATGCCTCCACTGCCGTATGTTATCTACCTATTATTCTATTATTATTTATCTTGTTGATCACTGATTTATGTGGACTTTCAGATACTGCTGTAGTTGGTTTTTAGGCCTACCATTTCTTTTGTTGTTCATTTGTCCACATATTTTTTAAGGTCCCAGTGCACACCATGGTAAGATACATTTTTGGCTCATAGCTCGTTGATACAAATTAACGGCGGTGAGACTGTCGTCTTTGGTATTTGTTGTTGTTGTTTTGAGATTCAAATTAAAACAATAAGAAACCTGTGATCTGATTTTGGAACAGATTGGTAATAACAAAGTACCTAAAGATACAATATTTAATTAAAATTAACCATCTGCTTGTTAGCAGGTTTTAAATCTCTCATAAAAGCGAGGCCCTGCCATTGTGCATACATTTAATAACATTTTACCATTTTTTATGCAGAACAGAGAAACCTTGCTTTAGTAAATCTTAAATAAAGGAATAACACAACTTTGTAATTCTGCTTCCAGGATTATTTTATCACTATTATTAGTTGCATTATTTTACTTCCTTACTTCCTGTGCTGAGTCAGTTCTGCATGGCAGCTTTGGCTAACCAAGAAATGGAGCTGCAATTTTGGGAAAACTAGCAAGAAGGAACTACTGATGAGTGCAATGCTAAAATTGCATCTAGCATTGTTAAAGCAACATTTTATTGCACAAAGAGACACAGAATATCTTTTTAAAACTACCTGATCATTTTAAATAATCCTCACAGAGTCAGATGTCTTAAGTCTTTCTAGCTGAAATTTTAGGTAGGAATAACATTGCAGTATACTCACAGGACAAAACTGGGACTTAAGCATTTTCATTGCTACAACTTTTTTCGACAGATGACTGTGGTCTGTTATTAATAATAATATCAGTGAATGTTGGCAAATTACGTAGTTTGGAAGCAAAGTTTCAGATCACACAAAGACATGAAGAAAAATCACATCCAAAAACATACAGGCACAGAAAACACGTCAAATCAAATCAAATCAAAACACACATCCAGCAAGACACATGTGGAGAATTTGGTCTTTAGGTTGATACATTCATGAAATGGAGAAGGCTAATTGTCATTTATTCAAGTACAACTCAAGCGGGTCCATCACAACAATTGTTTAAAATGGAAGCAAAGATGTGCTTACTTTGACGAGCATTAGTGTTTTTCAGACATTTTAAGTTAAGCTTACAACATTTAAGGGATAAACTGTCCTTTACTGTCCTCTGAGAACTGAGTAATTATCTGATGTGTTAACACACAGCACATAATAATAATAATAATAATAATAATAATAATAATAATAATAATAATAATAAAATCTTGTTTAGGTATAGATTGTGCTTATCCTGATTCATCTGTACATGATTAGACACTAAAGTTGCTCTTCATGTACACTGTAGATCTACATAATTTATGTTATTTAACAGAAAGCAACACAACATAAACAAAGAAACAAACAGACATCTTCCACAACATGTGTGATCATAACCAAAGCTGTAATCATCAAGAACGTCGACTAGAATTAACGTAAAGCCTTTAGTCTTGGTGTTTTCTCCCAACAGACCGTTGAGCAATCATGGAGTGAGGGACGGCTTAGTTATGCAAATATTTCCCAAAGGCAGAGCTGCTTCAGTATGAAGAAATCATCTCTTTGAGCAGGTAAAGAACTACATTTCTTTAGCCAAGTAATCATTAACTCACACTTTATACCAAATCAGGTTGCCGCTTGTGCCAGGGCTAGCATGATTTTCAGGGCAACTTAATCTCAGTCTAAGGCAACGAGAATTATGGCTTTAAAAATGTATTGCACATATTTCAAACACAGTAATTTTGGACAATATTGCAATTGATGCTGAAATATTGCAGTAAGCCTTTGACCAAGATCATCAAAGGTAAAACAATCACAAGTGACAATATATATTTCAAAGTAATCAGTTATATATTAACTTATTTATTCAAAATATTAGTTAATTTATTAGCTAGCTCACTTTGAATAAAAAAAACTGTTAAGGATCGTTAGTTTTTGTTTTATAAACTATTTATGCTTAACTTTGTTTGACCGGTTACGTTTTACTGCTTTACCATAAATAATGTATTTTCAATTCAGTGTTTACGAAAGACTGAGGTTCGAGTTTAGTGGCAAAAAAAAAGGTAAGTATAAATGCAGATTTCAAAGTAAGCAGTAATTCCACATTATATTCTATGTCCATTTAAATATTAGCTATACTAGTAAGATTGGGAGTTTTGTATCTGAGGTTGCTTAATGTTGATCTCAAGAGAAATCTGGTTTTAGGATATGTATTAGTGGTACTGTGATTAATGTTTGTGGCCAAAACACTTAAAAGGGGTGTAGCAAGTAATCAGTCCATGGTTTGGTTCATACCTTGCTGTTTTCTTTAATTCAATTACTCTTAGGTATTTCCAGGGGACTGTCTTTGGATGATCCTTCAACACCAGACTAGCGTACCTTAACTAGAAAGTAACAGTTCCACATGGCATCAGAAGATGGAGCTAAGTGGGAAGTGATTAATTTCTCTGAATTGATACACCTACACTGGTTAATTTAGTTTTTGGTTTGTAACGTCCAAAACGATTATGACAGGTAACTCCGATCCGAGAAGTCTAGAAGAAAAGACGTAAAAATCTAATATTACGTGTTTCAGATACAGGATGAACTGAAGGGCTGTATAAAAGGACCATTCAAGGATTTTTTTAACTCAAGGAACGACAAAGAAGAAACTTAATGCATCTGTTATGTTGTAGATGTTTTTACCTGTTAGATTGTTTTGTTTTTGAGCTTTTTATTTCAGGCTTCTAAGAGACGATCAGCGCCACCAAAGCAGCCCTGCGTTTGAGACATAGAACGTGGACTCTGACGTACCGACAGAATAACTCAGAACTTACTAACAGCACAAATTTGTTTGTATTGCTGTTAAATGTGTGCGTTTACAGCCATTACTGCGTTGTTCTTTTAAATCTGCATATTGCCCAGTCTGTGCGAGCTTGGAAGGAGTGTACTACACCGTATCAGTGTTTCCTGTTTAAGCCACAGTCGGTGAGAAGGCTGTGATTGCTTCTGCACGGACACACTTGTGCGTCGCGTGCATGTGTGGCATGTAGGAAAAGAAAAAGGCGAAGAACGTGCAAACTGCTAAAGATGAACAGTGTGTTCTAGTATTCATCCTTAGTGGTTTGCACATCACTTCCTGTTTATGATTCATAGACAAAAAAAAGAAAATCATGTCTTCCACGATAAATAACTGAAATCATAAACAACAGATTTATATTTTGGGCCCATTCAGACAGAGAAATGCAAGGAAGCTAACACAGAGCTGCAAAAGAGAACTTGGTGACTGGATTTCCAAGACGATTTGTCAGTGACTGGGTCTCTCCTGTGGGCTGACATATAATTGCTAGTTTTTTTAAACATGAAAAAGTGCAGCAGTCCAATCAGATATTAGCTATGAAAGACTTCATAGTTGTTCTCCTATGCAAAGTGTCTCTGAGTGAAAGAGCCGTATGGACTCAAAAAGAGCCTGTATCAGTTTTTAAGTTACAGATAAACCTGCACTGATCGAACCATTGCTCTACCAGTGAAGTCTCTATTTTAACTGGTAGAAGAAGTGCATGTGCAAGTAATTATAATCTAATCTTTCCAAACTGCAGAAAAATAAATAAAAAATGTAAAACATAATTCAGAGGGGAAAAAAAACCCAGGTGGAGGTGTCCTCTTAAAACCCAAACACACCTCCACTTCTTTCTTCACTCCAGCTAAACAAACAGCTGCAGTCTGACTCGTGTTTTTGTGTATTATGGGGTGCCGGCAGGTGATCCTTTGAGGCTGTTAAGGGCTGCGTGGATCCTGAAGTGCAGTCTGGACTCCATGGAGTAGTCCTTGTAGTTCGTCCTGATGATGACACACAATCAGAATCTCAAATAAACACGCGTTTCGCAATCCTGCCTGCGCAGGAATGTTTTGTTTGGTTAGTATTTTTTTCTAAACCACTGTAAATACCTCACTCGTGCATTTAGTGCCACCTAAACAATGCGGTTTTTCCTGTCTGCACAGCTCCAGTTATGGTTGCAAATTTCCACTGTAGCATCCTTTAATGTTTTCACAACAAGCACACTATGAAGTGTCTTGATGCATGCTCAATCATCAGGTAAGTAAATCTCTAAAAGTTGATTCTGTTCATCTGGACGTAGCATTTTCGTTTTCTCCGAATGAAAATGAATAGAATATAAGTGTAAGTGTGTGTGTGTGTGTGTGTGTGTGTGTGTGTGTGTGTGTGTGTGTGTGTGTGTGTG